TTTAGATGACTGCATAATATTTTGGAGCAGATCAGAGGAAGATTTATTCAAATTTAAAGATCTTATCAACTCCTTACATCCGTCGCTTAAATTCACCATGGAAACCAGTGACACTTAACTACCATTTTTGGATATTCTCATTTTGAAATCAGGCAGACAAATAACGATGGATATTTATTATAAATCAACATACACCCATCAATACTTAAATTTTCATTCGTGTAATCCGTCCCATACAAAACGAAACATACCTTACTGTAAGGCCAGGCGGATATGTGTTATAGTGTCGGACACTAATATTCGAGACGTACGATTGAACAAATTGAAAGGCTATTGAACACAACAGTTATACCCAGAGGGTTTAATCGAAAATAGAATACGCAAAGCAAAACAACTGACACTTCAAGAATTACGAACTCCGAAATTGAAAGACACGGATGAAAACTTAAAGAAAATACTGTTTGTTAGGACACACGATCCGTATTTACCGAACGTGTTTAATACTATTTCATCGAACCTTCCAATTCTACATGGAAGTGAAGCCATGCCAAAATTAATACCGGAAGGAAACTTGATTTACAGCCACAGCCAACATAAAAACTTAAAGAAACACTTAACCAGAGCTCGATTCGAACCGAAGGTTAGTGACTTTGAAATAAAATCTTGCGTAGATTCAAGATACGGTGTTTGCGGTCAAGATTTCATATATTTGGAAACGGGCAAAATGAAAACATTTTAAGATTTCATGTGAACGCCAATATGACGTGTAAGACAACAAACCTTATTTACTGCGTCACGTGTCCTAGTTGTCACGAAAATTATACATGTTATATTGGACAGACCAGGAATAACCTCTGTGAACGGGTGCGCGTTCATAAAGAACAAATAAAACACCCGCAATATAGAAACTCGCCAGTTAGTGAACATCTTGACATTTGTGTTAAAAAAACAATTTAAAATAATGCCTATTTTTAAATGTGGACGGGATGAAGCCTATCGAAAGGAGATGGAACTTTACCTCTTAACAACGTTCCGATCAAGATTAAATCCCGAGAACGTTTAATTACGAACAATGCCGGAACGTCTCAAGCATCCTTAACGACGCTTATTCAGTTATCCTGAAGAGTCCTAAATGGAAGGATGAAGTCGATTGAACTACTAACTTGTTTAATTATTTTACTATTTATTTTATGAATATATACATCTGCACAGGTGAATTTTTGTTTACGCCTGTATAAATATATTATGTTCTTTACAGTAACCAAATATATGGATGGTGATGTTCCTTTGGCACAATCTTATGGTGTTTATATTTCACAACTCGATCGCTATGCCCGTGTCTGTTGTGACATTTTTGATTTTAACGAACGTAATCTATCTATAACTGGTAAATTATTAAGTCAGGGATTTCGTTATCACAAATTACTAAAACCTTTTCTTAATTCTTTCATAAATAAAAATATTTGGTTTTGAAGTTTGGTTGCACCTGTAGAAAACATATTTCGAATGGGATAGCACATCATCATTCTTAGGTAGACTTTGCTTACCGTGCCCGGAGATTTAGAAACGACCTTGGTAAACGAATCGATACTTGAAATAAACTTATTCTAAAAGGTTACAAATTCAACACTGTTATTATATCTTTCAATACTATTTTATTGGTGTTAATATTGATTTTGTTATCAGTAAATTAAAGGCAAACTAAATATTATTTTTATATTCATATGATCATTCACAGTACTACAACCTGTTTCGATTCCTGTATCATGGCATTGCACAAGGTCAAGTTTTTCTCTGACTGTTTATGACGTCTTTGAACTTAATCCCTAAAATGGTTGATGTATACTGATTGATAATTTAATCTTAGATGCATGATTTATTTTAGTTGTTATTGGTTTTTGAACTAGCTGTCGATAACTGCGAGTATTCGCAGATCTGTACTTAGTGTCTTTTTCTAGTTCGTTCTTGTGTTGTACTGTTACACCACTGTCCCAGATCGAGCGGAGGGTGTGATCCCGCTAACATGTTTAACCCCGCCATAATCTGTATGTATGTGCTCGTCCTAAGCAAGGAACATATAATTCCGTAGTTGTCGTTTGTTCCTGTGAGACATATTTGTTTTTAATTCATTTTTGTGTACATAAATTTGGCCGTTTGCTTTCTCGTTTGAATTGTTTTACATCTGTCATTTCAGGGCCTTTTATAGCTGACTATGCAGTATGGGCGTTGCTAATTGCTGAAGGCCGTACGGTGACCTATAGTAGTTAATTTCTGTGTAAATTGGTCTCTTGTGAAGCCATGTCTAATTGGCAATCATACCACATCTTCTTTTTTGTATATACAAGTTTTGGCTCGCGTGCCAGGTGACAAAACAATGTGGTTTAAATCATTAGATATTGTTTCAGTACCTGCCAATTTAGACATTACCATTTATTTATTGAAAAGTAAGTGAAATATGTGCACCACCTGGGATCAACCGATAACCACTTCTTCTAAAAACAGTATGCAAATGTTCATTTGCCGTAATATGTGAAAAGGTCATCTTTTTATAATTATTATTATTATTACATGTATTATACAGTATTTATAACAGTGCATTATATAATATCACAATTACGCTAAGCGCTTTACACCATATTCATTCACATATATAAGTATTAACAATAAGATATGAAAGCCCATATCATGAAACCCTTAAACAAACAGATTTAAGATAAATGGCATATAAAACTATACTATTAAATTGACTGATACACAATAAAATTTATTTAAAATGGGCATGGTAAAATTAAGGAGACATTGAACCCGTACGAATAGAAAAAAATATAGATTCAAAAATATTTGCTCAAAATTCAAAAATTACAGTGATATAAAAAGTATTTTAAGAACTATGAAAAAGCATGTTTGAATAAATGAGTTTTCAGGTTTTTCTTAAAAGCGTTCACAGAATTGATGTTCCGTATATAACTTGGCCGGTGCCTCCTCGTTCAAAGCCTTAAACCCATAGACAAGAAGCTTATATTGGCATCTATACGTTTCGGGGAGGTAATGGAGAGACTTCAGGATTGGTGTGATGTGGTCGTACTTCCTCCTTCTTGTAATGACCCTGGCTGCTGTGTTTTGGACTCGCTGTAATCTTTGAATAGTAGTTGATGGGAGTCCATACAGCAATGCGTTCCCATAATCCAACCGAGAGGTTACAAGAGAGCATACTAATGTTTTGCATGCTTCTTCGGTAATAGATGGACGAATTCGTCCAATGTTTCTGATCTGATGAAAACATGATTTTGAAACAGCGCTAATTTGTTTGTCCATTGCCAAAGTTTTCTCAAAAATAAATGCCTAGGTTTTTTACGCACTCAGCATCACTGACAACGTTTCCACCAAAATTGAGATGCAATTCTGAGAGGTCCTTCACTCGGTTTTTTGGAGCAAATACTATCAGTTCAGTTTTATCCTCGTTTAATTTTAGCATATTCGAGCACATCCACTTACTGATATTAGCTACGCAAGCCTCAAGTCGCTTTGATATGTTTGTCCAATTATGAAGTGGTTTGAACACGAGATAAACTGTAGTGTCGTCTGCATATCAGTGATAGCACATATTATGGCGTTTACACATTTCGCCAATTGGTCTTGAGAAAATGCAATAAAGTTTTTGTCCCAGGACCAATCCTTGAGGTACACCAAATGGGAGACGAAACTCATCCGAAAGAACAGAACCAATAGCGATTCGTTGAGTCCACATCTCGTGATATGACTTCAACCAACTAAGTGCTGTACCGGTTATCCCACAAGAGTATTCCATTCGCTTTATCAGAATATGATGATCGATAACATGGAAAGCAGCCGATAGGTCTAGCATTAGTAAAACGGCACAACAGTCGTTATCAAGTGCAACAGTGATGTCATGATGCACACGAAGTAGTCCTGTCTCAGTCGAATGACACGCACAGTAGGCTGATTGTACATTGTCGTGAAGAGAGTTTGACGTATGATGGTTTTCAAGTCGAGTCTCGACGACCTTTTCCACCACTTTGGATACAAACGGGAGATTAGAGACTTGTCGATAATTTTTCAACACCTCTTTGTCTAAACCAACCTTTTTCAGGTTCAATCCACCATTTGCTACATAAGAAAATGCCTGTACCGGGTTAGGAATATGACAGTTGTTATCAGTTCGTTTGATGTGTTTGAACTTTTGATGTTGCCATTTGATTAGGGACTTTCCGTTTTGAATTTTCCTCGGAGTTCAGTATTTTTGTGATTTGACTTTTTTTCAAGAGTGGTCAAAACAACTGCCTTCTTGAAAGAAAGTGGTACACAACACTGTTCCCGTGACAAGTTCACTATCTTGGTGACGACGGTAGCTAAACTGTTCAGACACGGTATAAGAAATATGTATGTCTCTTACAGCACTCATATTATATTGAATGTTCGAAGGTTAATTTCAAAGTAAAAAAGAAACTCCACGTCGATACAGGAATGCAGTAGAATTTGTGGATGAATAAGGACACAAAATGCAAAGAAGTTAATTAATTTCAGCTACCATCAAAACGTTCTTTTTATAGCTAAATTTTGAAAGGAGATATCCTATTGGATATTGTCCCTTTAGCTCCCTCAGTTATCGATCCTCTTTTTGTGAGAAAAAAAAACTGGTATGCTTTTTCAATTAACAACAATTCACATAATTTACATTCAAGGAATACAATACGCCATAAATTGATGAAAAGTACTTCAACTGGTAAACAAACCCACTATCAATCTAGCAATTTACTGATTTTCAGCCAACGATCACTTGTCATGTGTTTTTATAGTCAAGTGCTCTATTTAAATTGTATTCACCTGTTAAATGAATTCTTGGGGTAGCTAATTTTTTGAAAATACGCTTTGGCAGCCCTCCGGTAACCTGTTTGTATGTCTTTATATCTCGTAGGTAATAAGTAACACAAAATTGTATTGACTATAAATACAGGTTTCTTAACCAACCTTCATACGCATCTGTCGGCTTTTTATAAACAGGTTAGTTGATTTGTTTCTTTTTTCTTTTTTCTTTTGTCATTGCCTAATTGCTTTTTAATTAGTACTTTCAATATTCATTAATGCACCCCAAATAATGCAGAATTATGATTATTATTTAGGGACAGTGACCTGACTTTGTGTACATTTTTTGTAGCAATCGGTATTGGTTATAAGGATTATTTACCCGACATGCTGCAATAACCTGTGTAATATTTTATTGCCATTCACAGTGACAGCACTATGCAGTCGATTAACTCTTAGCACTATTTGTAGCTCTATCAATAGACAAAAATACCGAAATCCAAAATTAAAACAAAATGCGTTGTATTGTATTTCCAAACAGTAAAATTTGCTTTGAAGCCGCATATTAGATATGGCTCTTTAAATTATTACTTATGAATCTAATATTAACTTTATTTATTCAAAGTCAATTTTAAATACTATCCGCGAGCAAATACCGACTACTGGATCGACAATAGGCTAATAGTCCACCAGCCGCAGATAGACCAAATTCAAGAATAAAACTAACTCTTTTCTCGATTAAGAGTCTTTAGAACTGCTCATGTCAACTTAAGAGGATGTTTTCTTATAACTAGTTAGTATTTCCAATTAATAGACAAGGCTTGGACATGAATGTAATGGTTTGCAAATTGTTCATATGCCATTCCAAAGCAGGAACTTCAAAAGTGGTGACATTTGGTGAACTATTGTCTTGATTGTAATCTCAGTATTTTTGATTGATTGTTTTTTTTTTCTTTTCTTGAGGCGATTGCATAGTCAATTTGGTATCGACTTTTGAATGTCCCTTATATATATTTCGTTTCTCTTGTAAGAACAATCAGGTACAGAAGGCTGTTATTCTTTCCTTATAAAATAACTTTAGTTTCATATAGGTACAATACGTTAAAGAACGGAACAGTAACTTTGACCTCTCTTTCTTTCCTTACTTCCTAAACGTATCATATTTTGCTAATGAAAACATCTTAACTTTTCATTTAACAGTTTTCTAGCAACACATGTTCTGCTTTGTTTGCTTCGCATAATCTCTCGCTAAATAGAAACAGCTTAACTAATATGTCCAACCTCTTTTTGAAATTAATCAGCTTTAATGTCAGTAATTCCTCTGATGGTGGATTGTTAATTCCCGAGGGTATCACCAGCCATGTAGTCCGTAAATTATTAATGGCATGCAAATGCGGATATTATGTAATAAAATTTGCTGTTAGAAAATTTGGTAAAGTGTTTAAATTCAAGGAATATATCTTCATCATTCAAAGCTCTGATTCCTTGTCAAACTTTGGCATAACTATTTGTCTTTTCTGTTTTTGTTTTTATCGGTATTTCAATTCTAATTTAATTTTTATATAATTTTGGAATTTTCATGTATTTCGGACTCGTGCATCACTGACGAGACAAACATTGTCGAAATGCGTATCTGGTGAGGTAAAATAGATACCTTTAATAGTGTTATTAACTATGCAAACTATATGCTAACAGCTTGAACGTTTACTGATGAAAAGCCAACGATCATACATCAACCATTATAACAAATTAATGTTCTTTGTAAGACTCAGTATGATGTTTATCTTTAAAATCTTCTTCGGATATTTAATGTTTGTCTGACCTCATTTACTCATATCATCGACAATAGTCAAAATATATTTGTCCTGATAGTCAGACACCGCTTTGTCCATTGACTTTTATCTGTATATATTATTTGAACAACTGAATCAAAATCTTTGTGTTTATAGATCAATTTGTAAATGTGTTTTGTTGTTGTTATTTTCTTAGTGTGATACATGTATGTTTTATTGAAGAAATACAACACATTAAGTTAGCTGTATATATATAAAAATTCAATTTGTCACGTGAATACATTTGATATAGGGTTTGTACTAAATAGAAGTGGAAGAATACATTAATTTTGTAATTACTTTCCAGCAAAGTTGACACTAGATGACAAACTATCGACAGTTGGTTGATACCATTCCAGCTGTACTTAAACATCCCGTCATTGTATTATTGCACTATTGTTAATATTTATATTCATGTCTTTCATTTTTGCTAATGTGCTTTGTCTATATGCCTTTTTGTGCTTCTTTGTTATATATTTGTTTTTTTTAATAGTGATTAAGATAATAACACTTTCTTGACTGCTGTACCCCAATTTTTGAAATTTTTACCTATTATGTCTGTTTGTTTTGTTCACACATCGTTGTCAATATAATGGAATTTGATGCAACTGTCATACAAGTGAGTGGTTTAGCTAGCTATAAAACCAGTTTTAATCTACTATTTACTACATAAGAAAATGCCTGTACCAAAGTAGGAGTATGACAGTTGTATCCATTCATTTGATTAGTTTGAGCTTTTGATTTTGCCATTTGATGAAAGACTTTCCGGTTTGAATTTTCCTCGGAATTCAGTATTTGTTTGTGATTTTTCTTTTTATACCCTGAATGTATCATCGACCGAGTAATCACTGCTTTGCAGACATAATTGACATTGGTTTTGTTTAAATCAGTAAAATGTTCAAAGTTACTTTTTTCGTTAACGGTAAGTGATATATGTTTTGCAAGATGAATAACAATTATAAAAAATAATCATTGAACAAAATAACATATTGATAATAGTAAACCTACTTGACATAACATTCATATAATTTGCAACATTTCCAAAATTGTCTGCATGTTGTTCTACAGTTCGGGTTTTGATCGGCTATGTATATTATTGTGTTATGTACATAAAGAATACTGTTGATCGTATCGCAAAGGAGGTGTAAATCTAGTGACACAATCTTGAACGATATCCAAATTATTCATACTTTTAAAAATAGCTTACAATTCATGTTTATCATGCGAAACGTTGTTTTTGTTCATTTAACATTTGTAAACTTTGTACATGATGATTGAAAAGATATAGAGTCCCAATGATTTATCAACATTTCTTAATGCCCAGTGACTTTTTGTCAGCACTTTAACATGATTAAGAACAGCTAAATGTTAAATCACCAATTCACACAATGTCTTCATACTAATGTTGTTTATGATGTTATTATTATGTATTTATTTTGTTCGTTTATGCATTATTAGTATGTAATGAAGAAGACGTTCTAAGTTGTAAAACTTGAGTCTGATCCTATTGTCAATGTTTTTGACAATAAAATATGTTTAAACACGATGTTTTTTTCTTATGGAGAAAGTAAGAAAGGGTTACTAAATGTATCTTTGTTACCTGTTACAACCACTTGGTCGATGCAACTACTTGTTGATGTCGCCCTTACCTAGGGTGCCAACAGCTCAGTAGTTAGTACTTTGTGTTGACATGAAATAGCATTGGCCAGGTATTGCTATTTTCTGTAAATTTTCTGTTTGAAAATTTTGAATTTTTCTCGACAAAGTTTGTTTTTGTCCATATGCATAAATGACCATTAGCCATTTTTGGCTTTTCAATGTGAAATTGTTTGATCCAATGTTCTTCAATTTTGTGTTTGATCAAGCCTATCAATTTGTTCATATGCGAGAGCCACTGGTTATTCTTATGTACTAGTAGATGGACAATGTGTATGTCGTAACAATGTATAAGCCTAGTGTCTTTGATGAGTTTTTACAACTTCTGGAAAGATGCAATTGCTTGTTGACTTTTCATTCCCAATAGCGTAACATATGCAGTAGTAAGAACTTATGTTGACAAGAAATACCAAATATATGTTCATTTCTGTAAATACTCTTTTTAAAAAAATATTTTGAATGATTCGAAACCCGAAATTTATTTTTTATTTTGAAAATTTGGCTTACAATCATGACAATGGTGTTCAACTTCATTTTATTTAAACTAAATGCTCGTATGACGTATCAAGTTATATGGCATCTTTGATGGGCAAAAAAAAAGAATTATTTAAGACCAGTATTGCACTAAAATTGATAGAAAAAAACATAGCGACAACGAAAGAAAAAAAATTAACAAAGAACACAAATACAAAAAAAAGATAACAAATAGCCTACAAAACATTTCGCATAGATCAAGAATACACGCAATACATGAAAAAAGTAAAATCATAAAAATACTAAACTCCAAGGGAAAATTCAAAAGAAAAGTCCCTTATCTAATGGCAATATCAAAGGCTTATAAACACATCAAACGAATGCAAGTTTTGTTGAAGATCTGTTGATTTCGTGTGTTTGTTCTGGAGCTAAATTTGAAAAAAAAATCAAGTGATATTTTTATCAATACCACTTTATTTGTGAATTGTGTGTGATTTAATATTATGTTATGTTATATTTATGTATGATTCATTGGTAATATTCAACTCCTCATGGTCGCTATGATTATCAAATACAGTGTCTTCACATTTATCTGATATATCACTAATTAACTCCACCTGTTTTATAATAGTTAAAACCCTGGGACGGACCACGTTTTGAATTGAGATAGATGTGGACCTTAGTTCTTTTGTAAAAAGTAAAATAACAAAAATACCGAACTCCGAGGAAAATTAAAAACGGAAGTTCATAATCAAATGGCAAAATCAAAAGCTCAAACTTATCAAACGAACGGATAACAACTGTCATATTCTTGACTTAGTATAGTCATTTTCTTATGTAGAAAATTGTGGTTTAAACCTTGTTTCATAGCTAGCTAAACCTGTAACAATTTATTAATTTATTAACAAAAATTATAAATTGGTTGTAATAAATTTGTGCATTACCAAAAGCACTAAACACTGAGCTTTTGATATCTCCAATAACGGACAGCTAATTAGCCATAGTGTCGAATAAGTTAAGCAAACGAAAATAATGCTTTGTCAATTTTCTTAATACCTTTTATTTCCCTCGGTTTTTGTTTGTTGCCCGGATTTGTTTTTTCTCAATCGATTTATGAATTTCTAACAGCGTTATACTACTGTTGCCTTTATTTATTCTGCATCCGCAGTTTTTTTTTCGGAATTTGCACATTTAAATGTCGGTTAAATATGTACATGTAACAACACAAATATTCCTAAATACACACATGGTGCATCAAGTGATTTTGGTAGTTGCAATTTATGTATTTGATGAATGAACCTCCTTAATTTCAAGACTGTTCTTTAACCACACAATGTTTTTATTTTATTTCAGAAAATGACAAAGCTGTGGCGTGGTCTGGAGCTTGTACCTTTCCTTTTAATAGGTAAATGAAATTTGGATGCGAACATTTTGTATAGACCATGTGTTAATTGGTCGGTTTCTTATAAAAGATAGATTTATCCTTATGCACACAGTCAAGTTTTAAAAAGAACGCTGATATAGAATTGTTTAATGATGACAGCAACATAGAAAAACAGGAAAATAGATGGACGATCACACGAAGAATTGCAATTATTAGTTTTATAACACCATATAAAACATTTAAACAAAATACTCGCGTGTGATCAAAATTAAAAGATTTGAAAAAAATAAATTTGAATTATTTGTATTAAAAAAATAAATGCATTCTTATATTTTAGAAACCCACATTTTTAATTTAATTTTGTGTGTGTTTAATGTGTGGATGAGTGTATGTTTGATAAAACACATTGTTTTGCTGGTATATATTGCACAATGACAAATCTACTAATTACTGAATACACTATTTTGCTTCATATCGAAACGTGTATTTTATAAATGTTATTCATTTATGGTTGTGGCCTGTTATCTATTTCTTGCATAGCTATTTCTCGTACCACACTGTACGGAGTGTGATACCAAAAAGTGATACGGAAATTTGCCTAAATTTGATTGGCTTATCGAGAATCACAAGGCGATATTTCGGCATTTCTATTGGCTATTCGATAGGTCATCGATGACTTTCAAAGGTTAAGACGATGTACATTTCGTTCATGGCAACATACACTATGTGATTCTTCAATAATATACTAAATACTGACACATTTCACCTGAAAATCTACTTTTTGTCAAATTTTATTACATTCTGAAGCGTATAAAAAGTCTTGAAATGCCTGTGTTAAAGTTTGATACTAGAAAAAGATATATGACTTCATACTGGAATGTGCAAACGACTAGATCTACATTTCGCGGATTTTTTTATTTAACACATTAAGAGTGTTGACCATTAGAGAAATATGTTTAACAACTTGTGAAAATTGGATATCGCTTGGTATATTTGTGTTTTCTTGTCTTTAATTTTTGCTAATATGCTTGGTCTATATGCCATTTTGTGCTTTTTTGTTACATATTTGTATGGGTTCTTTTAGTGATTAAGATTATAACACAATGTTGACTGCTGTATTTTTGACTTTTTTACCTATTATGTCTGTTTGTTTTGTTCACGCAGTGTTATCAATATAATGGAATTTGATGCGACTGTCATACAAGTGAGTGGTTTAGCTAGCTATAAAACCAGGTTCAATCCATCATTTTCTACATTAGAAAATGCCTGTACCAAGTCAGGAATATGACAGTTGTTATCCATTCGTTTGATGTGTTTGAGCCTTTGATTTTGCCATTTGATTAGAGACTTTCCGTTTTGAATTTTCCTCAGAGTTCAGTATTTTTGTGATTTTATTTTTTGATATCAACTCCCGTTATTTAATTTAAATAGTAATAATAAACTCGCCGAAGGTTCGTTTATAATTAAATTGAAATTAAATAACTCGAGTTGAAATCAAGCGATTTCTATTCTCACGCGTTATGTAACCTCTAAAAATTAATTGAACCTTAACTTAACGTTGATGTGGTTTGTATCAAATAATGTAGATTCATTTATTTTTGTGGGTACCAATTTTCATGGATTCGGGAAAACTTGCATATTAGTGGGTACTTAGTTTCGGGGTTTTGCTGAAGTCAACATACAAGTCTATGGACAATTTGTCATTTGTTGAAGATTTAAGTTCGTGGTTTCACCTGTTCCCACAAAATACGAAAATTGGTATCCATCGAATATTAATGAATCCACAGTAATACGAATTTTTTCCAATATTTACAGAGATTGGTGAATAATATTTGTTATTGGAAGCATCTGGAATCGGAAATGATAAACGGAAAAGGGCTACCGTAGATAATGTCTGCATGCAAACCAGGGAACACGTTTTGTTTTGGAATTAGCTTAGATATAAATGTTATCAGATGTCAGCGTTTATATTCTCCCCAAAATGGATACTTTATACAACTTACAAGGGCAACATGTTTAATTCAATACCAGATAAAACCACATTCAAATAAAATAGTTTAATTAATAAGATGAATAAAGCTGCTAAATGCTATTAAAACGTAACTTTTATCAACACATCATTCTAAGTATAACTCATTTGAGAAGATATTTACGTGCATAAAGTGTAGCAACATTTTAAAAAACATTGAACATTTTGCTCATTTACACAAATGTACTTTAGCACTTTTGATAGGTTGTTACATGTTTTATAAGCGCATAAAACCCCCTTAAAGGTTGAACAGAAATGTAACTACATAACATAAGAACTAAATTGTAATAATAACGTAGTTAACATATTGACACCTACCACAGAAAAAAACCCAGTAACTGCAAGCTAGTTCAAAAAAGTATAACAGAAATACCGAACTCAAGATAAATTAAAATAGAAGAAGTGAGCCCAAATGCAACTTGCTCATAAACAATGGTCTCCAAAAGCAATATGTCTCATTTGACATATTTCATAACTTGTAAACTCAATTTATTAGTTTGCGAACAATACAAATAGAATAGTGCAGATTTTGCTTAGACAAGTCATTGTCATTTGTATACATCAGACGATCGAAAGTCATGTGGCGCACAGCTTTTGATAGTTCATTTTATTATAAAAAAAGAGTTTGCAATTACACGGATACATGCATAACCTAATAAGAAAAGCTTTTGTTTTTGCAAAAGAATTTAAACCTGTGATCTAAGATATATTTGTGATACTGCAGTAAGTATTTCGTACATCACGAACATTCACGGCAACGATTACATAATTAGAGTCAACTTTGAATGAACTTGCATCTATTTGTTGCACTCTACCTCTGACCCATTTGGCCATGCGAGATATTGACACCCTGGGACAAGTATCGCCTGTAAACTTGTCTCTTTTCATCTTATTCTCTCAAAAAGATTCAATTATTTGTGGATCATGTGTTGCTAATCTTTTTTGCTACCGAAGCTTCTGGTTTATAGTTATTCTGTACATACAGTTTCTAGTTCGTGTTAACAAAAACGATACATAAATTGAGAAAAATAACAAGAGTAGTAAACTGCTTAGATAAGCCATATTAATTTATGGGTAGATTTAGGATGGCTGAATTGGTTTTTGGCTGTTGTAGCATCTGTCGACCTATTGGAGTTTTCTGGAAAATAGCCAAAATCACAAAAAGAGTAACACGAACGATTTTATACATTTGAGTAGCTCTTATATATTATTTTGATGATAATTTTTGATATGTTGAATTTCTACTATTCACTGTAACATTGACAAGAAATAAAAAATGCTCATTCACCATACTCATTTGAACCCTAACATATGACATCACATACCCCTGTATTGTAATCACTTATATTATTTTAATCGAATCGTTATCATCATGTAATGAAGATAACTTCCATTTGCAATGACAAATCGTTTGAATATACACAAGACTAATGTTAATGATGTCCTGGTAAAATTTAAACAAACTAACCAACCAATTAAAAACCAGGACCCACCAGTACCAATCAGTACCAAACTACAAGCACATAATGTTTCTCCTAAGTCAACCTTCCACAGTGTGAAATTGCTAATTGATGTTTTGAGATGAAGGATTATCAGATGATTGTACTATAGTTATATTTAATATGCATATTGTGTCATCAAAACTTTGACTGATAATGCCAATTTATTTTTTTTAACAAATGACGTGCTTCTTTCGCTTTGTAAACAACACCGTGATCAATTCTTGATATATCTATACTAAGCGCACTAAGAGATATACAAAATAATGTCTGTTACAGTTTTCCTCCCATGGAAATCCACACCTATTGTAACCTATGTGCAAACGCTATGTCGATTTCACTGTGTTAAAAATTGCAATTAAAGAATAATAACTACATAACCTTTACTTTTATTTTGATGCATTAGCATAAGAGCTCCGAAAAATTAGTTAAATCAAGGTAAAACAACATTCCGCGAAATTCCATTAATGTTTTTGTTGCCTTAACGTCATTTCAAAACATGACGTCATTCGAATGAAAAAGATAAAGCGGGAAGTTTTTCCGTTTCGTGAACCATCAAAGTTCGGATAAAATTACATGGTTTTTTTTATGTAGTTTTTTGTTAATTTTCTATTCTCTTGCGCATTTACTGTTTTCAGAAAGTTAACATGGCGGTTTCTTAGTTACGAAATGTCAACTGCTGATTAAGCGGTAGCTTAAGAATTGCAAATGTTGGGGATGAGAATAAAAAGAATAAAATTTACACAAGGCCTGGGCATTGATATTTCATTATTTTATACGTCACTAACGCTCAGGATACAATTCGAATAACACGGCTCAGACCCTATGTAAATTAACAACAAATATATGGCTTCAATGAATTATTTCTTAATTTTCTTCTTCATATCTTATTCAATAATATCTTTTAATGTTACAGCTATGAGCGATTTACACGTAAAAACTGTATTTGGTAAGTAAAAAACAATCAGTACAAAATTAACATTTCCATCTATTCTCGTATTATTAGTGTTATTTTATTTATGATTTTCGAAATCGATCTACAGTTCAATAACAATATAACTGCAACACAAAAAAAGAGTAAATACTTTAACATATTCAATATAAAAAAAATAAGATGCGCTACGATTGCCAATGAGACAAATCATCACAAGAGATCAAATGACACAGAAATTAAGAACTATAGGTCACCGTACGGCCGTCAACAATGAGCAAAGTCCGTACCGCAGAGTCAGCTATAAAATTCCCCGAAATGACAAATGTAAAACATTTAAGCGAGAACACTTACGGCCTAAATTTTTGTACAAAATATGAATATGTAACAGAGCAACAAACGACAAGCACTGAATTACAGGCTTCTGAATTGGGACAGCATATACCTACAGAATGTGGCGGGTTTAGACATGTTAGTGGAATACCAATCGTCCCCTTACATGAGACAGTTAAGAAAACAACATAATAACAAACTTTAAAAATCAGTTTAGAAAAATTAAACTCATCAGATGATGATGTCACGCTGGTATTAATAGTTCTTTGACTGGTGCTCTAACATATCGTTTAGTTTTCTTTTCATTAGGAAAACCTGCAGTTGGTATCAGTAAATTTGATTACAGAGAACAATATGGAAGTCGTGTAGCACTTAATTGCAGAATAACACCAGATCCTAAACTACCTACTGTACACGTTTTCTGGATGAAGAACATCTCTGGTATCATGGTTTCAATAGTAAGAGGACAAGGAAAGGAAGGCATGACACTTGACAATCCTTCACTAATTATTAATGACGCTAATTTTGCTGACTCTGGTCGGTATATTTGCTATGGTAGAGATAATTCTGCTACTGTTCAAAGTCCAGCTATCAGTCTTACAATACTTGGTGGTAAGCTGTTAAACCGATATATACCCTGTTCAATTTCTTTTAAAGAATAATGTAAACTGTAAAAATTGAGCTTACATACGTTAGTTAAATGCAGTTGATGTTTCTTTGAGAACACGAGTAGCAATATTATGAACTGAGCGTTTGAAAAGAGTGCATGCATGATTAGAATATGTAAATACATGTAAAAGAAAAAGAATATTTGGCGAATGCATCTAAAAAGGAACGAAAAAACTTTGTATGTTATCTTTTCAAGGATACAAGGAATATAATGCACGTTTTATCAACAAAAGACTCGCAGTGACGCTCGGATTTAAAAAAAATAATCAAAAACAACATATTGAGCAGGTTGGGTAAGACGTTGAAGAGCATTGATGGCCGAAAATGCAACATACAGTATAGGTCGAATATGGAATAGAAACGTGGAATGTTGCAAAGAGACAACAACCCGATCAAAGAGCGAAAAACCTCTCAAGGCCACTTATGGGTCTTCCCGCACAAAGAGTATTGCTTCACAGCGATACAGAAGCGACATTAAACTCCGAAACATACAAATACATCAAAATAAAACAAAAACAAAAATACATAAGACTAACAAAGGCTAGAGGTTCCTTACTTCTGATGCAAACATGTGGTTGGAAAAACATATTTTGTGATATCTCAAGCCGCCCCTATTTACCACTACTGACGGTAATCTGTTTCCTTGGGCACAAAGTACTGAGTATGAAAAAAATGTTGTAAAAAGTTAATTTTTATAAATATGCCTATATCGATCATATTTCATATCAACAATTTTTACTGGTCATAGGCTAGTGATAACCACAACGATTTCATGAAAACTGAAACATTGACAATGTATCCTACTTTCAAACAAGAGTCTAGAACCGCTACCAAAACACTTATTGAAATGGGAGTCCGTTTGAATCACTTTATTATATTTAATATCTTGCATGTTGATCAATCAGTTATAGCTACAATTAAAAGACAAAACTGTACAGTTTGAATGTAAAAATGGTGCATGGAAAAAAGAGATTAAATAATTATATACATATATTAGAGAAAACATAACAACCAAGACTACCGCTAACGGTTGTCATATAACATGTATAATCTACAATAATGTAAAATGACACCAAGCCATTAAAAAAATCAGAATACTATGAGCTTTCAATAAGGAAAACAATCAGTCTTAACAACATTTATGTCAATAATTTTAATTTGTTTTCACAGGCAGACTTTATAAAATGCAAACTGTTATTATGGCACCCTCAACGGAGTTGGGGTGACATATTGTTATTGTACGTTTCTTTTTTACTTATTACAATATGCTCCAAAGTTAATTAAACTTCACAAAAATATTGACTAGCATATGCAGATGTCCCATTTGACTTTGGAATTTCCAAAACGGCTGCCGTTGCCATGGAAACAGCAAAAACTTCAAAAATTTCAAAACGATCAAGACTCAATGAAACTTTACAATAATGTTAATTGGCATGTGTAGAAGCCCTCTTTGACATTGGAATTTACAAAATGGCGGCCGTTACCCTGGCAATGGGGGAACGAGGGTGCAGTCCGTTATAGCTAGCAATTACAAATCTAGTTCAATTTGTTTCCCGTTGTATGGTTGGCTCTAGACCTAATGGGGAAATTAGTATCTACGAATTACCATAAATAATGTCATTAATCAATCACAGGTAATAGTGCGGTTAACGAGTATTTGTTAACCCGCTTTATTTCTGTTAATCTTTGTGTGCATTTGTTATTGTATTTGTTTAAAACACGGACATAATTGCGGGAACAATTATTGCTAATGCCAGGAACTGATATAATTCACCGGGGCATGTTAACGAAACACATCCCCCAGCATTGTTCGCAGTAAATAAAAACACCTTCAAAATGTCTGAATTTACAGTTGTAAAAGAAAACTAGATGCTTTGAGAGGGTACAAGTCATATGCACAAATGCAAACCTAGGGATATCAAAAGCATATTACATTACCCTACGGGAGTACCCGAGATAACGCACAGTTTTTGGTGCAATTAGTGTTGTTTAGTCTTTAGTCCTCTATGTAGGTTTTATATACTGGTACTGTCGTTTGTTTGTCTCTTTCTTTTTTAGCCATGGAGTTGTCGTTTATTTTCGACTTATGAGTTTAAATATCCCTTTGAGAGTTTTTGATTCTCTTTTACAGTTAACTTTGTAAACCGTGTTTAGAAATTGTGTAAGCTATTTTTTAAACAAATTAAAAAGATAAAAGCAAGCAAATAGGGGTAATGAAAGAGTATATTTTTTGTATTATTAGATCCAATTATCAAAGTAGACCAAACCAAGTACGATGTGAACTACGGTCGTTCTGTCACACTGAGGGTTGATATCCAATCCAATAAGGAAACCCCTGTACGGAAAGTATTTTGGCAGCTTAATAACAAAGGGGTTATAACGACGATTGACTCTAAAACTGAAAAGATATCTGGAAATAACATTGATAATCCATCTCTAACCATCCAGACTGTAACAACATCTGAAGCTGGAAATTTTACTTGTTTTGCTACTCATGATATGGGAACTGCAACAAGTAAAGCTATCGTTGTACACGTAATAGGAGGTTAGTAGTTAAAACATATTCAAAACTCTGTAAGCCAATAAACCTGTTTTGACGTCTCTTCATCTTCCTGTCTTACCTATGCATGTTTACCATCAATTTAAATGTCAACCCCCTTATAAATATGAATGGCCTGCAACACCAATTCCTTTCGGGATATATTATTATCCGCTGGACATATTTTACCTTAACTACGCAAATGACACTCATCTTATATAGTACACCGAATCAATTGCCTGGAAAATATTATAATTTTACCCATGAAACATACGGCAAACTATGGCGGTGTTTGTTCAATGATTATCCGTTTTAGTCATTTACTTTTGTAAATGCCTTTGATTGTGTATGTATTACATTTTAAAAATAAAATGTTATTTGTAACTTTCAAGGTTAAACACTTTATCTAGAGATAAAATCAAAGAGACAACACAATAAAAAGTAAACTTTTATAACCGGTATTGTCACAGAAATGATCCCATAAACAACTTTCCATCTTACTAATAATAGAAGTTTTCTTCCATCAATAGGTTGACATGTATTTTCATAGTTAACTCTATTTCGTAATCATAAAACCTAACTTAACAACAAATAGCATTAAGTTAAGAAAATTATTTACTTCTTACCTATAATTTTTTGTTCTTTGTTTTATGCTTGCGTTTGATAAAATATTAATTTGTTCATAACATCGTGTCTATATTTGGTTTATATAATTATATATAACTCTACATGTTCAATTAAAAATCAATGTTACTGAGATTCATATCTCATTTTAGATTTACCATCCGTCAACGTTGAACAGAAAACGTACCAATCTGTTTATGGAGAAGATGTAACATTGAAGTGTATTGTTTTTTCGAATCTCAACATCGTTAATGTGTATTGGGAAAGAGTTCAAAATGGTACAAAAACAATCATAAACCGAGACTCAATTGGATATCAGGGTATCTCACCTACCTATCCGTCTTTGAATATCATTTATACTACTAAAACCCACATCGGAACATACAGATGCTTCGCCACTAATGTGGTTGGGACATCTATTAGTGGATCTACAACATTACATGTTATAGGCGGTAAGAGAAGCATACTATTAATATGGTCCTTCTTGCACATGAAAAGATCATATACATATTCAAGGTGTGGTTTAGATGCATTAACTGTGCGTTTGATCGATCGTTCCAGTATTACAATTATTAAATGTCAAATGCTTTAGTGAATTGATTTGTATTGTAAGATCTATTTTCAGCATAATTTCCTACAAAAAAAGGATTTAAACGACGTCGCATGGTCATGTAACTTACCCAAATCGAGGAAGCTTTTTTTTTTATAATGAAGATTTATTTTTTCATTTTTATCACATCAAAAGATAGCTCGGCCTTAAAGTAATGATGACAATAGTTTGAAATATCTTCAAGTGGATCTTAAGCATATGAGCCTCAACTCCAAGATTGCGACTGAACGGTGTAGTAAATACGTTTTTAAGTAGTATATATTTTATTTTGATGGCGCAAATTTCCACATTCGTTTATTTTGCAATACTTTTCTCCCCTCTCTCTCTCTCTCTCTCTCTCTCTCTCTCTCTCTCTCTCTCTCTCTCATTTAAAGTTAGACAAATGTTTTGTAGATAAACCAATTGCCACAACCACATCATCGATTTTGAATGCAAACTTCGGTGATTCAGTCACGCTTGAGTGCATTGTTCATGCATTTCCGACACCAAGGAAAATTTACTGGAAGAAAAGAATCAATAACCATACACCAACAATGTCAATAAACAAGGAATTTCCTGGAATATCCGGAAGTTCTATTGAGACACCTTCATTAACGATAAAGTATGCTACTCCTGCAAATGAAGGATATTACAGTTGTTTTGTTGAAAACACAGCTGGAGTCACTGAAAGTAAACCTGTCAACCTGATAGTGCTGGCATGTAATTATCTTTAAGAGACAAACAATAAATATCCCTTTAAAAACCGAATAGCTGCAATTAAATTAAATTTGTACATTTTTTTCCCATCCCAATCGGTGAATTTGTTTTTGAGAAATCGACATGACATAAACGCGGATCGCATTAATGACCACACATTGAACTGTGACGTAAACAATAATTTAACATAATCGTTTGCTCACAACAGAAGAAGGATACCAGGAGACTATATACGTCTAGTATACGTATATCTTTTCGTATTATCTGTACACCTGTACTAGTATAATAGGAAGGTCGGTTGCAGGATAAATATCAAAAAGTATTCTTTAAATAAATCATACTTGTTATATGCCCACATCGTTATGATTTCAATAACTTGTGACAGGAAAGTTTCAAACGATTCGTTAACAGATATTAACAAAATAATAAATCAATGTTATTGAATGTATCCTTTTAAAAAAAATAAAATTAGTGGAATGACAAACATTTTCAGCTCTCCCAGAAGTAAGTGTCCTTCTCCAGCCGATAATAACAGGAGCAGGATTAGACGTTATACTAAAATGCAGTATTCGGGCCGTACCACCAGCTATAGAAGTGTATTGGCAGAGAAATACAAACGATCATCAAACAATTATAAAGTCAAGTTCATTAAACATAGAGGGATCGACAGTCGGCAATCCGTCATTGACAATTCGGAAGGCTTCGGTCTCGATGTCTGGAGAATATACGTGCATTGCAAGAAATCCTGTTGGCACAGGAAGAAGTCTCCATACGATTTTAAAAGGTAAGAGAACAACTAGGGTGTATTAATGTTGCTGTAAATGCTGATACTGCTGTTGCTGCTGCTGTTGCTGAGAATGAGGATGAGGGTAAGGATAAGTTTGCTTTTACTTCCGAAGCCGATACGACACTGCCATACATTCGGTAATGTAAAGTATTGTTGAAGTAGGAAAATATTCAAATTGCATTCTAGTATGTTCATTTAAAGATTATACATTATGAGGAACACCCTAAAAGTCTAGGATTCATAAGAAGCGAAACACTTGCACTGCTTTTTGATAAGCAAGGACTTTAAATTGATAACCTACGGTTCCTCATAATTTCTAAATTTAATAACAGAATATTATAGAAAGGTTGTTATAAATCATGCCAGTACCGAAGTAGTGAATACCTGTTTTGTCATTACTTAAAAAAATCAATCAAACAAAAATAAATGTTTTGAATAAAGTTAATTATTTTCGGGTCTTTGCATTAACGGGACTTAACAATCAACACTGTTTATATCAACGGCCTAAATATAAAGTATAGAAAAACGTAAAACTGTTTCCGAATACTGCAAATCAAAGCACTTAATCGTCGCAGGTTTTAATATCAAAACTCTAAAGTTTGAAGTGAAACACATTCATATGTTTAAATACATTAACATTCTTTTTGTCTCTTGGAATTAATGTATCACTATTCTTGTTACTGAAAAACACAGATATGAAATACTTATATGTAGATCTTGATAACTTTTTCAACTACATTTTATTTTTACAGTTGAGCAAGTTAGAAATACTCGCAGCTTATCTGGCAGTCAATCCGGTAGTCAGTGTAAGTACACCAGCAAGAAGTTGTACGTTATGAAACTTTTATGACATATTTATTTTACAAATTAAGGCTCAAATTCCATCACGGAAATTTTTATTTGACTGGTTTCGTAATTTCTAAGTATCGTTTAATCATTTGGCACACTATGTATTAACTAGACGTAGATAGTTAGACATCCTGGCATTTAACTTGTTTTGGTTATGAGCATTCATGAAGAAAGTAAATCTAGAATATCGCTAATGCTGCAACAAAAACACAAAACAAACATGGTACCATAGCGTATCATCGAGTAATAAGTCGGTGCGTCGATACTGAAGATTTTGTTGTAATCAAGACATTCAACATCGTACTTTATTTGGCCTTTTTAACTTTTTTTTATTCGAGCGCCACTGATGAGTCGTTTGTAGACGAAAGGCGCGTTTAGAGCAAATATCAAATTTCAATCATGGTATCTATGATGAGTTTATTTTTGGATAACAATTATTCAATAGCAAAAAAAAAATGAAAAAAGTGGAAATACAACACTATCAAAATATGTTTCTTAAATATGCTAGATGAGTTAACCATTATAATCCATTGAGAATCTGGAGATTCGGACAAAAACTAATAGACTGTAGAAATCTCGTATTATAGTTGTCTATGAATATAGACCATTGCACTTGGATTTCAAATATATAGCTCCACTCTTGTCAAAACTGGAGATATAACACTACCTGATTTACACAATGACTTGTTCCTAGAAATGTCTTCGACATTCGTGTTAAGTTTCGTCATATCTGATTCCTGCATTAGTTTGGCATATGTGCGACCCAAGATTATCGATGTCTGTACATACATACCACTGTCTGCGTATTAAAGTCATCTTTTTTGCCATGGTTAATGTTTGTTAATTTATTTGTTTGTTTTTTAGATAATAACACAATGTTGGCTTCTGTACATGCACCTAATTTTGACATGTTTACCTGCTATGTCTGTTTGTTTTGTTCACACATCGTTGTCAATAAAATGGAATTTTTTGCGACTGTCATACAAGTGTGAGGTTTAGCTAGCTAAAAAACCATGTTTAATCCACCATTTTCTACATTTGAAAATGCCTGTACCAAGTCAGGAATATGATAGTTGTTATCCATTCGTTTGATGTTGTAGAGCTTTTGGTTTTGTCATTTGATTAGGGACTTTCCTTTTTGAATTTTCCTCGGATATCAGTATTTTTGTGATTTTACTTTTTGCTATTGCTTACGAATAACCATCATTATTCATGAATATTGATGATTCCGATCGATACATAATCCAGACAGCTAGTAAAAAAAAGGTAAGAATGTCTTGTATTATCTGCGTTGCAAAATTCGTTTCATATAGAATATTGTCATTTACAATTGGTGATACGTATGTTAAAGTTTGATTGCAGATACATATTTGATACCAAAACAAACCAATTTTTACTTACATGTATCCCTTTTAAAACAGATCCAATTATTGATGTAGCAAAAGACCATTACAAGGTAGTTTATGGAAGTGCTGTAACCTTGATAACAAGCATGAGATCAAACGAAAAATATCCTGTTCGGAAAGTATTCTGGCAACTTAATAACAAAGGGGTTGTCATGACGATTGACTCTGAGACAAAGGGCGTATATGGAAATAGTATTGATAATTCGTCTCTCACTATCCACAAAGTAACTACATCTGAAGCTGGAAATTTTACCTGTTTTGTTGCACATGATATGGGTATTGCTAGAAGTATATCGATTGTTTTAGATGTCATTGGAGGTACGTAGCGTGATTAGATGTTAACGATATGCTATAATTTTCCGTCAAGTAACATTACTTAATGTTGTATATGTAAACTACCGATTTACATGAACGTTTATCCTCATATAAACATTGTTAACTCTGAAATACTTAAGCAGACATCCATGTGATATCTCGTAATGTGAGCTTGTTTCAATTACCTTTTTGTCTATAATGATACTGAGAATAATATTACTTTCAAATGTGTTATTCAAATTATCGTGGGTTAATAAAAATTAACTGTACAGTTTACAATACAAACAACATTATAAAAGTGAAAATATAATTTTCTATTTAGATTTACCAACCATTGAAATTGAACAGAAAAAGTATGCATCTGTTTATGGTGAGGATATTACATTAGACTGTAATGTAAAAGCCGATCCTGCTATCACTGATGTGTATTGGGAAAGAGTTCAAAATGACACAAGCATGATTATCAACCATGATTCAGTTGGTGTTCAGGGAATAACACCTCAAAATCCGTCTCTGATTATCATTTCCAGTACCAAAATGCACATCGGGAAATACAGATGCTTTGCCTCAAATGCAGTTGGAACGAGTGGTAGTGAATCTATGTCATTGGGTGTCATAGGTGGTAAGCTAAAATTGAGTATGGAAATGGGGAATGTGTCAAAGAGACAACAACCTGACCATAGAGTAGACAACAGCCAAAGGCCACCAATGGGTCTTCAATGCAGCGAGAAACTCCCGCACCAAGAGGCGTCCTTCAGCTGGCCCCTAAACAAATATGTATACTAGTTCAGTGTTAATGGACGTCATACTTAACTCCAAATTATACACAAGAAACTAAAATTAAAAATGATACAAGACTAACAAAGTCCAGAGGCTCCTGGCTTGGGACAGGCGCAAAAAATTGGCGGGGTTAAACATGTTTTTTTGAGATCTCAACCCTCCTCCTATACCTCTAGCCAATGTAGAAAAACAAACGTACAACATACTTTATTTTGTTTCATCTAACATAATATAAAAAAAAAGCATACGATCATTCTTTGATATATATTTTCGTAATGGTTTAACTTGTTTTTTTTTATCGATCCTGATAAATGTTTTCAAAATTTGTATTGCACCCTTTTCACTGTCTAATGTTGGGAATAACTATGTTAAACCTTGTCGCATATTCATGCAACTTAAGTGACTGAACAAATTCTTTGAATGTTGATTTACATAGAAGGAGAGCAAGTTTTCTTTCCCCTTCTGAAATTACAAAAATAGTAAAATTGTATGAAACAAGTTAAAAAATGCTTTTATATTATTCATTTATACATTTGGGTATAAAATCTGCCTTTACTGTCTTCAGCGGTAGTCACTTTGATGTCAATGTTAATTTTGCAAACCGATTGTTTCGACACACAATCGAATGACACTACTGAATTGGATGCTCTGTGTAAGATTATTATCTTGCATAAATATATATATATATATATATATATATATATATAAGGGCATACTTTTGAAAATATTAGCTTTCAAATAATGGAGGTAAACCAAAATTGGGACTCCCAAAGGAGAAAACAGAGAGAAAGGTTCTGGATGCATCAGCTACGTACTCTTGAACCTGATGGACTTAATGAGAGAGATGAAAAACAGTTCTGCCCAAAACCAAAGGAATAAATCCTGAACTTCATTCTATTTAACTAAAACAATTATTTGTATTGATTTAAGAATTGCTATGTACTATAAGCGGCAAAAATATTTTTCTAGACAATTTACAAACATATATTTTTTATAGAACATCAATAAATTTTGTTAAACTTTTACTCAAATTTTGTGTAGTTCAAGCTACAGAAATATTTTTTTGTCATGCATCCGATTTCACCTTGAGAGATGCACACGCCTGATGAAGCTAATATGTTTAGCGAAATATTGCGTGAATAATATAAAATATAACAACTAATTTTATAACACTCATTAGTGTGTTAAAGTTACATTCTTAGGCACTTATATAATTTAATGTAGTAACTGCATCAGTTTATTTACAAACTGATCCACGCCTAGATAGAATGAATGTTGATTGTTGCTATTTTTGGACACTTTATATATATATATATATATATATATAGATTGCCTAACAATGTAATTTCAACACACTATTTAATATGTAAATATTAGAATGTTTAAAATATTTACAAAACGATAAAAATAAACGCAATATTTCGCTAGACCAACTAGCTTTATTAAGCGTGCATCTATCCAGGTGAAATCGGATGTAGATGATAAGAAACTTTTGCAGCTCAATGTACATGTTGCACATGAATTTAGCTGCCTTATAAATAATACACAATTTGGATGAAGTTCAAGATTATATACACAATTGGTGGTTGAAGTTTGCAACGTCCGTTGGCCAATATTACAAGATAAAAAGGACGAAGCTGTGTACTAAATTATTCTTTATCTTTCCTGTATCTTTTCTCGTCTTTTTCGTTAAGACCATCAGTTTCTAAAGTGTGGAGCTGGTGGATCCAAAAGTTTTCTCTTCTCCTTCTCGCCGTGGTGTCCCACTCGGTGTTGACTTCTATGATATTGAAAGTAACATTATCAAAAGGATGTTTTTTTGTGCGAAGATGTCTTGTGAGAGGACAGTTTTTGTTGGTTTTGTACCATGAACGATGGTTATTGAGCCGAATATTGAATTAATCCATTGTTTTTCCCACATACTGAATGCCACAAGTGTTACATGTTAATAAATAAATTGAGTTCTCCGTTTTACAGTTTGAATTTGAGTAGATGGTATATAAATAAAGGCAACAAAAGTATAACTATGTTTAGTGACGGAGCTGATGAAAGAACTGCTTGTATTGGCAGCTTTGCAACATCAGCATTTCCTTCGACCACATTGTTTGTAGCAACCGGGAGGTGGAGTAGGTTGCTTTGTTAATACAGATGTCACTAATTTGTCACGGATATTTTTAGATCTTCTGAAGGCCATGACTGGTGGTGAGGAAAATGTTTTTTTTTTAAATTGGAGTCATTTTCTATGTTGATATATAAAGAAGACACGTCCATAGATGCAAGTATAGTATTGTTAGGTAAAGGATTGAGGCTTTCCATTTTCTTTAAATAATCAGTCGTATCCTGAATGTAAGAGGGTAGTTCTTTAACATGAGGTCTTAGGTGATGGTCTACAAATTCGGATATCTTTTCAGTTGGGTGACTGTTCGCTGAAACAATTGGTCGTCCCGGATTGCCAGTTTTGTTTATTTTAGGCAACATATAGAATCTTCCAGCCTTTGCTTCGTTCTCAAGAGGTCAAAGATAGTCAAAGGTGTCATTATCGATATGTTTTTGGTCGTACATCTCTTGAAGGATGGTGTTGATCTTTCGAATGGTAGTTTGTGTTGGATTTGTGGTTAATTGCTTGTAAAAATTGCAGTTTGACAGTTGACGATTCCCCTCTGCTATTTAATCTGTTTTATTCATGACAACCTCAGCGCCCCCTTTGTCGGCAGGTTTTATTGCAATATCCTCTTGTTCTTTTAACGCTTTCAAAGCGATGCTTTCTGACTTAGATAAATTATAATTTCTTTTGTTTGTTATACAGGACTTTATATCAGATCTCACGTAGTTAATAAATGACTCCAAGTTTTCGTTTTTACCTTTTGGTGGTTTCCATGAACTTTTTTTCCTAAATTTTGAGATGGGCGCGATTTCTTCATTGGTCTCAGTATCTGAATCTGTTAATCCGGCTTCTTCAAGGTGCTTCTTGTCCCTATTGTAGAAAAAAATCTGTCAAGCGTAAATGTCTAGCGAATTGGTCTAAGTACTCGTCTAGGTGAAAGTTATTTACATTTGATGGGGTAGGACAGAAGTTTAAATCTTTACTTAAAAGAGATTCTTCAGCACGTGTCAGTTTTTTTAGACTTTTTAGAATACTTTCATTTTTTTGTTTCCGTCTTTTACATTTTCTTTTTCTAGGGGTCTTATGGTTTGTTGTATTGATATCAACTAAAAACTACAAACTGAACATCATATATCAAACTTAAAACATTACTTTCAAAGTAGAACTGTACCAAAAGGTTTAAACATCAAAGTGAGTCCCCAGGCACCGGGACATAAATCCAAAAGGTTCATGAGCCGTTGGAATGAAATTCTGTTTAACTGTTCAATTCAACTTCTTCAACTGTTACTTTCTTTTACAACCACAAATTACAAACAAATTGTAAATGAAATATCAGATATCATCAACAGTAGTCACATTTCACGTGACGATTTACCAAGAATAACACGTCGCCTGGAAGATATTGAAAAAATTGAACTATCCAAACATAAAGAAAAAACAAAGGAATAAATTTTAAAGAGATAAAGTTCACAGTGTTTCTTTAAATCAGCATATTATTAATATCAATACAACAAACCATAAGGCCCCTAGAAAAGGAAAATTTAAAAGACGGAAACAAAAAAATGAAAGTATTGTTGTAAATTTGTCATCTAAAAAACTGACAAGTGCTGAAGAATCTCTTTTAAGTAAATGTTTAAACTTCTGTCCTACCCCATCAAATGTAAATAACTTTCAGCTAGACGAGGACTTAGACCAATTCGCTAGACGTTTACTCTTGACAGATTTTTTCTACAATAGGGGCAAGAAGCACCTTGAAGAAGCCGGATTAACAGATTCAGATACTGACACCAATGAAGAAGTCACGCCCATCCCAAAATTTAGGAAAAAACGTTCATGGAAACCACCAAAAAGTACAAACGAAAACTTGGAGTCTTTTATTAACTACGTGAGATCTGATATAAAGTCCTGTATAACAAACAAAAGAAATTATAATTTATCTAAGTCAGAAAGCATCGTTTCGAAAGCGTTAAAAGAACAAGAGGATATTGTAATAAAACCTGCCGACAAAGGGGGCGCTGTGGTTGTCATGAATAAATCAGATTAAATAGCAGAGGGGAATCGTCAACTGTCAAACTGCAATTTTTACAAGCAATTAACCACAGATCCAACACAAACTACCATTCGAAAAATCAACACCATCCTTCAAGAGATGTACGACCAAAAGCATATCGATAATGACACCTTTGTCTATCTTCGGCCTCTTGAGAACGAAGCAAAGGTTGGAAGATTCTATATGTTGCCTAAAATACACAAAACTGGCAATCCGGGTCGACCAATTGGTTCAGCGAATAGTCACCCAACTGAAAAGATATCCGAATTTGTAAACCATCACATAAGACCTCATGTTAAAGAACTATCCTCTTACATTCAGGATACGACTGATTATTTAAAGAAAATGGAAAGCCTCAATCCTCTACCTAACAATACTATATTTGCATCCATGGACGTGTCTTCTTTATATACCAACATTCCACAAGACGAATGAATAGTAGTGTGTGAAGAGGCATGGAACACTCGTAGTGACAAAAATCCTCCAACTGAGTGCCTTGTTACACTTCTGAAACTAGTGCTGGAGAACAACAACTTCTCTTTCAATGACAAACACTATCTACAGATAGACGGCACTAGTATGTGCACAAAAATGGCCTCGTCATATGCCAACATATTTATGGGCCAACTTGAAAAACGCCTCTTGGCCAGTGCTCCATACCAGTCATTATCATGGTTTCGATTTATTA